AATAATAATAATAATAATAAGAGGAAGAGGAAGAGGAAGAGGAAGAGGAAGAGGAAGAAGAGTAAGGGGGACTTTAAGACATTGGTATTCTCAAATAACTTAGAAAATAGGGAACCGTAGATAGATAGGCAGCCAGACAGACAGACAGACAGACGGAGGGGCCTTGGAGGGAGGCGAGGGATGGAGATAATTACCTCCCCCAGGTATCCTTGAGGAGGGGGGGGGGGAGTGCTTTGTAGTTGGTGTACTTAGTAGCAAGTGTACTTCGCAATTCCCTTCTCGGCGCCCGCGCGGCTGGGAGGAATGTGCAGTGTCTGGGGGGGGAGGGGGGGGAGGGTGTTGCGCGCCACGGGTTCCTCTTCGGGTCTGTTACTTACCTGCTATTTTGGTCTCATTGTAGTTATTATTGTCCTTGTTTTTGTTGTTATTGTTCTCCTACAACTACTTCTTGTTCTCCTCCAATTACTTCTTGTTCTCCTCCTCCTCCTCCTCCTCCTCCTCCTCCTCCTCCTCCTCCTGTCCTTTACTCCCACCCTTCTTTTTTTGTCTATTGCACCCTTCCCACCTCCCTCTGCCTCTCCTTCCCTTTTCTCCTTCCACTCATTTCATCTCCTTCCACTTGTTCCATATCTTCCACTCTCTCCCACTCCCTCTCCTTCCTTCCTCTCCACCTCCCTCTTTTCCACACTCTTCATCATCTCCCATCCTCTCCACCTGTCTCTCCTTCCTCCCTTGTCGTCTCTTTTTTCCCTCGTTTCCTTTCTATCCACTCCCTCCCTATCCTTCCTTCCTTTCCAAATCTCTTTCCCTCCACTTTCTTCCCCCCCCCCTCTCTCTCTCTCTCTCTCTCTCTCTCTCTCTCTCTCTCTCTCTCTCTCTCTCTCTCTCTCTCTCTCTCTCTCTCTCTCTCTCTCTCTCTATCTATCTATCTATCTATCTCTATCCATCCTCCCCTTCCCTCTCCCACTCCCCCCACTCCCTCCATTCCCTCCCCACTCCCTCCACCCCTTCCACCCCCCACCCCCCCTCCAGCCTCGTCCTTTCGAAAGGGTAGCGTGCACGCCCTCCCTCATGCAACATTAAGGCATGTCGGGTTCCGGGCGGCGCCACCGAAGACGGATTATCGATCGCGACTCCGAAAATTGACGTCGGCGATGAATAAGGGGAATGTCGAATAAAAAAAAAAGAAAGAAAAAAAAGAGAATAATAAAAAAAGAAAAAAAAGTTAAGAAGAGGGTCACGTGACACGCGACCTGGAACTTTCGAGAACGGCTTTTGTGTCACGTGGCTCCGCGGCGCCGTCGAGGGGGGGAAGGGAGGGGGGAGGAGGGGAAGGGGAAGGGGAAGGGGAAGGGGAAGGGGAAGGGGGAGGGGGGGAGAAGGTGAAGGGAGGGTCGAGTGAGATGTTTTTGTTGTATATGTTATTAATGTTTTATTTCTACTATTATTTATTTGTTTCTTTGTTTCTTTCTTTCTTTCTTTCTTTATTTATTTTTACTACTCATTCCACCCTCGTGCTCCTCTGTGTTCTTTCCTTTCTCCGACTACTCCCTTTCTTTTCCCCCTCTGTCTTCCTCCATCCTCCTATTCGTTCTCCGGCCACGCCCCTTCCATCCTCTTTTCTTCTTCTTCGTCCCTTCTTGCTTCCCCTTCTCCCTTTCTCTTCCTCCTCTCTGTTCTCCTCCCTTCTCCCTCTTCCTCGCCCTTCCCCTTTCCCCTTCTCCTCTCCTCTTCCTCTTTCTCTTCCTCGTCCTCGTCCTCTTCCTCATCCTCCTCTTCCCCCCAATCTTCTCCCTCTTCTCCCTTCATCCTCCTCGTTCTTCTTCTCCTCCCTTCCCCTCCATCTCTCCTTCTCCTCCCTTCCCCTCCATCTCTCCTTCTCCTCCCTTCCCCTCCATCTCTCCTTCTCCTCCCTTCCCCTCCCCCTCTTCTCCCTCTCTTCCCCTTCCCCCTCTCCTCCCTCTCTTCCTCCGTGACGGTGCGTGCGAGGGTGGGGGATTCGAGGGCGCACACCCGAATGCTCGAGATTATTACAAGTGGCAGAAGAATCGAGCGGATCTTTTTATCGGTCTTTTGGGCTTTCCGCTGTCGATATACGTCCTTTTTATTGTCGGATAGATTTTTTTTGGGTATTTAGAATCATGCTTCTCCTGCTTCTTCATGTTCTGTTTTCTTTCTTCTTCTTCTTCTTCGTCTTCTTCTTCTTCTTATTCTTCTTCTTCTTCTTCTTCTTCTTCTTATTATTATTATTATTCGTCGTCGTCGTCGTCGTCGTCGTCGTCGTCGTCGTCGTCGTCGTCGTCGTCGTCTTTCTCTTCTTTTCCTACCCCCTCCTCACCTTTTCTCGCCCTCCTCCTCCTTCTCCTTCTCCTTCTCCTTCTCCTTCTCCTTCTCCTTCTCCATCTATTTCTTCTAACACCCGTTGCTTGTTCTCCTTTTTTTTATTACCCCCCCCCCCCTTCGTCTCCCTCATCTCCCTTTCCAGTCTCCACCCAGCCGTTCCCCTTCGTTCCTCGTCTCTTCCCCCCCCCGTTCACCTCTACCAACCCCCTCCTCTTTCCCCTTTCCCCCCTCTCACCTCACCTCCTCTTCCCCCCCTCTCCCCCTCTTTCTCCTCCCCCCCTCTCCCCCTTTTTCTCCTCCCCCTTACCCCATATTCTTCCTTCCTACTCCCCTCTCCTCCCCCTCCTCTCCCCTCCCCCTCCCTCCTCTCCCCTCCCCCTCCCTCCTCTCCCCTCCCCCCTCCCTCCTCTCCCCTCTCCCCTGTAACCCTTCCATCCCTCCTTCACCCCCCCCCCCCCCCACCTGCTCCCCATTTTCCGTCCCTGAGCGAGCAAATTGGCCGAGAAACACGGGTCTTTACCGCGGCACTTCGCCTTGACAGTGACTCTCCGTCCTGTCAAGCGGCTACTGGATCAAGGACGTGTCGGGGGGGGGGGGGGGTAGGAGAGGGTAGAGGAGGGGAGGGGAAGGGGGGGGGGGAGGGAGGAAAGGGAGGGAGAGAGGAAGGAAAGGGAAGGAAGGAAAGGGAAAGAAGAGGAAAGGGAAAGAAGGAAAGGGAAGGAAGGAGGGAGGGAGGGAGGGAGGGAGGGAGGGAGGGAGGGAGGGAGGGAGGGAGGGAGGAAGGAAGGAAGGAAGGAAGGAAGGAAGGAAGGAAGGAAGGAAGGAAGGAAGGAGGGAGGAAGGAAGGAAGGAAGGAAGGAAGGAAGAGGGGAGGGAGGGGGGTAAGAGGGAGAGACATGAAAAATAGTAATGATAGAAATAATGATGACGTCGAAGACAATAGTCGTAATTATCGTAATTAAAGTACTTTTTGAATAATTGTGATGATGATAGCAGACAATAATGGTCAGAAAAAAGGTAATAGAAAATGGAAGAAAGAATAGGAAGAACGTAAAAGACACGGAAGGGAAATACGAAGAAAAAAAAGATATAGAAAAAAAATTAAGACCATGCTTCCATAGTAACGGAGTCGGCCTCATAAAGCATACCGTGTGTGAATGAGTGTGTGCACGGACGTGTGTGTGTGTGTGCGCGACCGACCGAGTGTGGGTGCGTGCGTATGTATGTGTACATGTGCACCTACGACAAGCGCGTCGAAGGCTTGTCTCGTGGCAGACGGGTTTCGTCCCTCAGGCAGACCGGGCGCGAAGGCAGGCAGTTAGGCGGGCGAGGCGGTCGAGTTTTGAGTTATAGAGAGTGTATAGGATTTTTGGGGGGTCTTTATTTTCTGGAGTTTGGTGCGAAGAGTGGGGTAGTTTATGTTAAGTATATATATATATATATATATATATATATATATATATATATATATATATATATATATATATATATATATATATATATATATATATATATATGTATATGTGTGTGTGTGTGTATATATATATGTATATATATATATATATATATATATATATATATATATATATATATATATATATATATATATATATATATATATATATATATATTCTTGTTTGTAATTTTCTTTTCTGGAGTTTGCGGAAGAGCGAAGTGGGTTATTATATAAAGTATATGTATATATATATACTTTAGTTTTTTTAAAAGAACGAACTGGTTCGTGGAAAGTATGTGTTTTTTTATTCTCTATTTTTCTCTGGAGTTTGTTGAAAAGCGAAGTGATTTATATAAAGTATGTTTTTTTAAATTTTTCTAACGTGTTGAAAAGTGTCTTGGTTTATATAAAACATTTTTTTAGCTTTGATTTTTCTAGAGAGTATTGAAAAGCGGAGTGTTTTTATTGAGTGGTTCGATGAGATTTTGAAGGGGAGCTAAAGGAAGAATGAGAGGACAGAGGAAAAGTGGAGATAAGGAGTAGAAGAGATAAGAGCAAAAGGTAGAAAAGAGAGAAGGGAAGAGAAGTGAAAAGAGCGCGTGCATGAGAGAAATGCAAGGAGGGCGAAACCGAAGCGAAAGAGAGGAGACGAGAAACAGTGCAATAGAGAAAAAATAATGTATAAATCTCGAAAATAAAATAGGCAAATTTATTATAGAATGAACAGACAACGAAACGAATGAGAGATACAAAGCGGACGAACGAAGAAAATAACAATCAAAATAAAACAATCATTCAGAACAGAGAAAAAAACAACAACAACAACAAAAGGTAAACAAAAAAACGTACAATCAGAAAAGAGTAAAATAGAGAGAGAGAAAAAAAAAAAACGCCCGCGGAGTTGAAACAGGCCGAGAAAACCCCTTCACGGTCTGAGGATTCTCGCCTTCGCTGAGTGTGACCCTCGCGGAGAACTCGCCATGAACGCCAACGAGGTCTTGACGGCCCCCACCGAGGTCAACCTCAACCAGAGGGCGCTCTCGGGGGATGACAACAACAACAGGAACAGCAACAACAACGACCCGGGCGGCAACAACAATAACAACAACAACAATAGCATCGACAATGATAGCAAGGTAAGAGGTGGAGAGAATCTGTTCTTGTTGGGCGGGAAGCATGGGCGTTGAGGAATAAAATTGCA